CAAAACAAAATTAATAATTCAATCTTAAACCAATTCAATGAATAAAGATTCTTAAAGCTAAAACTTCTGAATCTAAAACGGGAATACAAATATTATCCATTTGCCATGAAATTTTAAACAACACTTTACCACCAATCAAAGTGCATAACGAAAAAGAAATTTGACAAAACACTGAACAGATTATTTACTAGTAAATTCTCAAGTTTATTACAAAAATATACCAAAAATTCAAAATCAAATATCAAAAACTTAAGAACTAATCAACTTTGAACATTTAGACATGTTTCTAATGCCATGTATAGGAAGGAATTGAGGTCTTCTAACTCCAAATGGCACCAACCAATATCTCAAGCACATAAAAAACTCAAAATAAACAATGCAAGATATCCAAAATGTAAAACTAATCAACCCATTTGAAATACAATAGTTTTTTATTGTTAAAACATCTAAGAAACTAAGAAAAAAATGAAAAGAATGAAAGAAGATGAAACTCACTCAGTGGAGACGACTCAAATGCGAGAAGATGCAACAGTGGTGGGGCAAGACAGGAGAAAACAACTGCAAGTGAAATGGAGGACTTTTAATAGCGGTAGATAAGGGGGATTGGTCGGTATTGCAGTTCGGTGGTGGTGAGAGAGAGGGGGACCACGACGCACTGATATGAAAAATAGAACGTGCGATAGGGTTAAGTTTAAATCTTTCCATAGCGGTTTTCTTAATAACCACCGTGGAAAGTTAACGGTCACAACACTTATTTATAAAAATGTCACCATCTTTTTTTCCATAGCATTTTTCAATCTAGCCGTCATTGTTTTGCGTCATTATATGTCTTTTTTATAGTAGTATGGTAAGCCCATTATATTTGTACATCCTTCCCTTCTATCTTTCGCACACAATTCCTAATACATATTAAACATGTAATGGGGTCAATTGCTCTAATCAATTCGCCTTAAAGTGCATGATGTATCTTTGTACAAGTAAACTATAATATCTGACGAAAGCCAGTTTCATTAGTCGTGGCCCTCAACCTTTCATTCTCTCTCACATGCTCTGCTACTTCTACACATTGTTTTTGTGAGTATCATGTTTGCAACTCTCTTTCTTTAATGAATGAGGAACCTGCATTATAATCTAGGGATCTGCGTTACAATCTCTTTTCTCCTTTTCTTTGCTTATATATCCACTCCTCTTTTCCTTTTATAACTTCTTCCATGCCTTTCTAGCATTTTCATCTAACTTTTGTATGTTAAACTTGCCTTTCCTTTTTTTGTTTGACCAATAATCTTTCTTAAACATATGCAGTCCAGTGACCCTATTCCTTGCTTTCTTCTTTTCTTTCCCTTTAACCATGCTTCCCTCCAAATTTATGTAATCTCAAGATATATCTATAGACTAAATCATTGGAAATATCCATTGGACATAAAACCTATGTCAAATAAAACACAATATAAATATTAGAACTAATGATTAAATAATAAAACAATTAAAGTTTAAGAAGGAACTAGCTACTAGCTTTACAATTTATCCACAGCCTTTCTTTAATCTTTTTAGGTTTTAGATTTGGAGTTTATCTTGATAAGAACAAGCTCAAATATACCTGTGTATTACACAAACATATAATGCCAGTCCCAAAATAAAGACAAAACAAGCAAAATATAATCAACAATGTGCAGACAAATTAGAGGTGAAGTCTTTCTCTAACCAGTCTTTATTGATTCTTTCATCATTCTAATCTCACGTTGCAGCAAGAAAAAACAAAAATTTAATTTGGTAACAAATAGTAAACTGTTTCAGTTTCTATTAGTTATATAAATAGATATATATATATATATATAGATATGTATTCATCTAATGGCAAAAAGCACCTTCAAGTTTAAAGAAGCGCATATATATATATATATATATATATATATATATATCACTAATTTGTGCATTCTTCGAATAAACAATATTAAGCTAGTAGATAATGACTTCAGCAAAATTATTAAAACAGTCAGATCCCCCATGGACCCAAAAGATTTAAAACCCACCAATATTACTCTCTTTAACAATATATGATTCACTACCAGTCTGTGTTTCTTAAGGTAGAGAGGGGGAAAACTAAATGGAAATTACTGCAACAATACGAAGACAAGAAATCAAGAGTTTGCAAAAAATTATTGAAGCACCCTTCCCTTGCTGAATGGAAGTGAAAGAGAATGGCAATATGCTGAAGGATTACCAAGTTTCCGTCTATCTACTCACCGACTCAAATATGGCGAACTTTGTCACTTACTGTCGTCTCTACAGTGGCAATGAATCAAACCAAACTCCTTCTCTCCCTTACCTAGCCGTGCAGTCGCTTGATTCCTGTTCATTCGTGTGTGGCTTGCACTGATTTCTCTCTTCGACTTCGTCTTTCTTTTAAATTTTAGTTTAAGAAAATATAGTAATTTCATCTAAATATTTAATCTTCCTTAAGGACCTCAGCCTCTCACAAATTTGCAAGGACCAATTCCCAAATAAATTTTCAAATGGGTATTTTTCACCAATTTTCCCTTTTTAATTCTTTTAACCCTATCATTGTTAACAAAAATGCTTATATTGAAATTATTAAAATGTTGACAAAACATTCTCAAATAAACAAACACTATTATTTTTAATTTTACTTTTTAAAATAATAATGATTGCTACAAAAAAAATTATCATTTAAAGTTAATGGCATAAGAATGAGAAAATAAAAAATATATTTTCTAAAAAAATTAAATATTGTATAAAGTTAAAAGACAAACTACACTTTTTTTCTATAAAAATTGAGCCCTATTTTTAGCACCACTGTCACAAAACTACTTTTTCACATTAGTTATTATTAATGTTAGCTTATGTACGATGGTTCTCAGAAAAAGGACGTAAATACTAGGGATTTAAAACTTGACTGATCGTATGTTGTTTCAGAAGACCGACGATTTCGGTTTCCCCAAAACAACAATGTTGAAAGTGGCACTTTTAACGCTGAAAGCACCACTTTCAACATGTAACTTCACCCTTTATATATAAATATATATATAATATTAGTGTAAAATACTCTAACTATCCTTCTGTTTTGCCTTAATTACACGAACCTCCCTTCTATTTTGGTAACATATATTTTAGTCCAAACCATTAACACTGTTAAGGAATATTCTGAAAAGATTTTTTATATGCATTTTTAGTGAAAAAATATTAGAATAAACCTTGTTTCCTACTTTACCCCTCATTATATTAAATATGTAGTTTATCTTTTAATATTAATATTTATTAATAATCTATTTAATATTTTACTAAATTGAATAAATTAAGACATAACTTTATAATTTTATTGAAAATACATATATACAATTGCAAAACATTTTTTTGCTAATATATATTTAAAAAATTACATCACAAGTAAGTTTAAATAAATAGACAAGATTTATTGTAAAATAAAAATTTGTATTTATAAAATTAATAAAATTTAAAATATATTAATCAATTCAATAATATAACAAAAATATTAAAATATTTATTAAAATTATTTTTTAATTTCAAATAAAGATGTATGATATGTCATTAACTAATAATTATTAAGTAACATTTGTATTAAGAAGGGGCAATTTGGTCAAAATAATAGGTTAATCCTATAATTTAACTGTTAACTAATGAATGGGTAGATGAGAGTTGAATCTCAAAACTAGAAAGGAGATTTGTGCAATCTATATTTTGATTTTAAGGGAGGTTCATATAAATTTTCAAAATAAAAGGGAGGTCTTTGTAATTTAGGTTAAAGAGAGGGGAGGTTGATGTATTTTACTCATATAATTAATAAATTAATAATTTTTTGTCAGAGTTTAATAAATTAATAATTTTTTGTGAGAGTTTAATAAATTAATAATAAGTATAATGCTCACCCCCAAAATCTTGAAAGTTGGCTGGCCATTAATGCTCGGATTTGAGCCCTTTCATGTTCAATTATATAATAAGCTTTTGGGACCTCCAATATCATTATGACTTGCAGATGATGTATAGTAAGAATGATACATAAACCCTAATTATCTGCGTATATATAGCAGCAGGCACATGCACAAAATTAAGGATAATCAAATCAAATACATGCTTAGATCAGTTATATACTTGCATGTGTACAGCATACATATCATTTTCCCCTATTTCTCAGATTTTGAATCATTTCCTTCAGGCTGTTTGGATTAGCCTTTTAAAAGTGATTTTACGGAGTATGAGGTAAGTACGTGAGAGGAGTTTTATTTCAGCTTAAATGAAAGTACTTTTTGTTTATGGGTGTTTGCAAACATAAGTTTTAGGAAAATTATAATTTTTTATTCTTATAATTCACTTAAGTTTTAGTTTCTTCCTTATATTTTAATATTCTTTGATTAAACCACATCAATAAATATTGTTATATTATATTAATCTTATTTTGGAATATTTTTCTTGAATACAAATCTACATATTTAGCTGATCAACATAATTCAATAGAAACTATAAGGATCACAAATATATTTTTCCTTTGAAAAAATTAATCTATAGGTCCTTATAGTTTATCTTAATTTTAATTTATTGATTTTATGAAATTTGATTTATAGAAATGCATGAATGTTAAGACGGCACGTTAAATAAAATGAAAGAAATTTCATAAAATTTATGAAATTCTATAAATTAAAATTAATGAATTTTACATTTTCAAATAATGAATGCCTATCATGGATCAAAAGCCCAATTCAAACAAAGTAAACAATAGGGACCTGATTCAAAATTGATGTAAACTATAAGGAATTGCAGATCCCTTTCCCTAAAGTTTACAATTTTGTAATCAAGTGTATTGCAAAAGGATTCAAACTCATATCTTACATAAATTAGTCGCATTTAAACTGAATCCTGTGCAACTTTAATAATAATCATAAGAGAGAAAAGGATTGATCCACAAATGAGCGTGACATAATAGCAAATATTTCTCTTATTTACACCCTTTACCAAAACCGATTGCCTTACAAAAAATCGGTAAACTTGTTGACAACTGAAAGAGCACTGCTAACCATGTTTTCAGATTTTGAGACACTGCTTGTGATCTTCTTCTGCAACAAAGATCTTATCTTCATCTCATCAAACTCGTCGGTGCAGGTGGTATAACTTGTAATGGCAGCACTCATCCATGTCTTTATGTTACTCCACTCGAAGGCCTCATCGGAGGCGTTAGCACCGGTCAAGCCCTTGACGGCGATGGCCGATTGCTTAACTTCATCAAGTGAATCGTCAATATTCTCAAGACAATCCTCAATGACTAGGGTTTCATTGCGAGTAAGACCCTTGGCTTTGGTCAGCGATTTGAGTGCATTATGTGACTTGCTGGCTTGTTTCAGAGCAATATAAATGGAGGACTTGGTGAGAACAAAAGGACTTGTTTTGATCACTGAGGCATAAGGAGAGAGATACTTGTAGCAATTTTCAGGGTACGTAGTGGAATTACAGTACTCTTTTATGAAAGCTTTGTAGGTTTTTAGGGTATTGGTGGAGGCTGAAGAAGAAGAAGATGATGAAGCAGCAATGGCTTTGTGGGAGATTGAGGCGATTAATGAAAAGGAAAGAAGGATTGAGAAGAAAGTGTTGTGATGCGAACTAGGAATTGATGAAGCCATATTTAATTTTTTTTGATTGTGGACGTGAAAGAATGGTCCTTTTTATAGACAAATATGTGCACATGGGAGTTTTGAAATTTGAAGCAAGTGCAAAAACTATAATTAGTTAACTATATGCCCGTATAATTGAACAGAATATTGTCAAAATTTGATTAAGTAAGGACTAAATTAAGAAATTTGCAAATCATAAGAGCTCAGCTTCATTAACTTTTAAATTATAAGGACTAACCAACAGGGTTGAGTCTAGTGAAAGGAAATAATTTTTCACAACGTGACAAACCAATATTTAAATTTTTATTGAGAGAAGTGCCCATATTTTGTATATGATAATATTTTAAATAAGCATTTAATAGGAGGATATCTATACTCAACAAAAAAAAATTGAGAACGGAATAGAAATTATAGTGAATGAGATAATAAGAGGAAAAGAACATGATTTTGTTGAAAATGAATGGAAAGTTTAACCCTCTGGAAATAATATGAAGCTAAGCAATGCTAATTCCTTACAAAACGGAGATGGCACATGGAGATTTCTTAAAAAGCATGTCTAAATGCTCATAAAATAAAATCAAATCCAGATGCTCTGATCATTAATTATTTTGACTTTTAGTTTTCTGTGAACGTGATGGGTTGGCACATGATCTCCAAATTCACAATGTGGCAAGCATAAAAAATATATAATGATGAAAGAATATGTTAGAATAAATATATTAAAAAAACTCATTGTAACAGTATGTTAGTTTATGATATAATGAGTTGGTATCTTTTAGCCTAGACTAGACTTCATTCATTAATAGCGCCACTCCAAAACGAACTCAATTCAAATTAATTAAAGGAATAGTTGTTAAAAACATACAATCATAATTGGAATTTTTTCTTAAACTACAATTACAATGAAAAATATGGTTACCAACTTACCATTTAATAATCAATGGGATTGTTTGGAAAAGAATTGGAAATTTGTGAGACAAATTAACGTTTTGATTGAGATCTTATATTTTGAATCAAAACAAATCCCTCAACTAACTTCTATAATTAGAATTGGAGGGAATATTTAACTTTATTTTGTTTTTTGCTAACGAATGTTCAACTTCATTTGATAATATATATATATATATATTTGTTTTAGGAAAAAAAAATCCAGAGTATATCCATTGACTTATGATCTATATATGCTTCTTTATGCCTACAGAGGACTTACACTTGAACCCAAACTGTCCCAAACCTACTTTTTATAATGGCTCCATCTTCACCTCTCTGGTACGCCTCCCATCTCCAAGTTGGTGCCGAACATGATTGTTTGAGTCACTTTTTAGATTTTTTTTTTTTAATGAATCTGAATCTACTCAGATTTATTCTTTCATAAAATAAAAAAAGATATTTTAAACACATATATTTGAAATACCTATTACTCCTTTGATATTTAATGTAAGACTTATTTAACTAATTTGATTAGATTAAGGAAGTTAGGTAAGTTACTTAGTTGTAAAAAATATGACATTTTTTTTAAAACACTATAACTGTCTTCTTAAATATCCTCCTTACCTTCCTACTTGATTATAGTTGAGAGAATATGAATAGAGATAATTTAGACAAAATTGATAAATATAAGAAATATGTCTTAAATTTAGGATCAAGATCAACTTAACAATTAGATTTTATAGTAAAGACTGAAAGCTAAGAGTTTTTTTTTTTTTTTTGCCAACAAAGTTGAAATATCTATCTAACTCTATATAAACACAACTAACAGCAAACTAAAAGCTCTTTTTTGGGGTGTACTGAAAATGATGGTCAAATTTTACATTGGCGCCAAACTCGTCAAAGCTAGCTTTGCAAAGTACTATAAAATCATAAACTTGACATCACATCTTAACCAAACATTTGGAATATATATTGTTACACTGCTATAGTTCCGATATAATATGTTTCCTATATTGAATCTAGTACAATATTATCAAGCATATAAAATTCCTTAGCTTCTTAGAATAACCAACTTTAAATTTTCACCTCAAATATATACTCCTCTCAATCTTCACAATTCTCGGTGCCAAACTTGTTGAAATTAAATTTGCAAAGTATTATATCTATATATATATATGTTCAAGATCTTAAAGTCAAAATTTGAAATCATTAAAATGCCAATATTCAACATCCATATATAATTCCTATCTAATTCTATTTCCTTTCCTCATGTGGGGACTTTTCCTCTCACATATGCTTATTTCTACATATTATTAGGCTATTTCTCCCCTCCCCTCTCCAAGTAAACTGTTGGGGTCCTTAATGAGACCCCATCAGTTTACTATTTTAGCACTATGAAAAAAAATTGATTTGTGATGGCGATTGAAATTCAAAAGTCAGTGTTAAAAAACTATTTTAGCAGAAAATTTTGGCCATCAAAAGGTCACCACCTTAACACTGTTAAAAAAAACTACCATGTATATTGTTAAACCGCACACTAATACATGATTCCATATTATTTTTGTTAAAAAATGGAACAAATAGTTTTCGTGTTAGTACATCTTTACCGATTTTATATTTTTATTTTTATTTTAAAATAACAATGCAACATAGCGATTCCGTTAGATATGTATAAATTGTTATATTTCTGTTCTGTAAATAGTCACAGGCTCCCTTGTCTATATATATCATATTTTTTCATTAATGAGACGTTAAGTCGTTCTTTGACATTCGGTTTCAATAACAATAATTCTTAAAAGTGTATTGATAAATTCTTACATTATATTTTCAATTTAATTACTTTTATTCATGATTTGTGTTATTTTAATTAAGAAAATATTTTAAATTAAGAAATATTTTATTTCATTTAGCTTTTTGAAAGACAAAAAAAGTCAAGTATATGTTTTTTTTTTCCCTGGGGGCAAAGTCGTGTGTGGGTGTGTGTTTGTATATGTGTTCTTAAGAAGCCTTCTTGGGTAAGGGTTAGGAGGACCTAGCCTTGTATGTGGTGGCCTCCCTCAATTTTTATCCCCTTAGTTATATACATTCTAAGGGGTATCAACTACTCCCTCCATTCTTTTCTATTGAAAAAAAAAACTATTAAAATTACATTGTTTAAAATATTAGTTAAATTTAGTTAAAAGTAATAAATATGTAAAATATATACATTTTTTTATTATATCCTTATTTATAAAGAGAGTACATGAGAGATAGAGTAGGAACTTATTGCAAAGAGATAAAAAGTGGCATATATATAACATGGGTGAAAATGGAAATGTGAATTTAAAATTTTAGACAAAAAGATTGGTTTCTTATATTTAGAAACACCACTATAAAAGAGATTGTTTCTTTGAAAATGAGAGAGATTGTTTCGCTGAAAAAGAAATGGAGAGAGTATTTTTGAAGATGAGAATTATAATACAAACATTAATTCTGACAACAAATAACTTGAAAATTAATCATGAACTGATCTTATTTTTCATCTCCAAACAGCACAAGACTAATTAAATAATATATACCAAATAAAGAAAATCCCTTAAGAAACAAAAACAACAAAGAGAAGCCCACACATAACAAGAGGAATGTAAATAAGAAACACTTATGCATTATAGATACCTTATGGAATGTTGCCAATAAGGCCCGAAAAAAAGTCATCAAACCCATCATCAGTGCAAGTCTTTGACTTCATATCTGAAACAAATTTCCTCCTTTACTGAAGCATATGTTTGCATTAATACTTGAGATTGTTGATAAAATACAAAGAATTACTGGTCATCCTCTGCACGTTCAACACACTGTTTCTGACTTTGTCTCTCACAGAAGCATCCACGTTCTCTTCATCCAACCCATCGAAACAAGTCTCATGATCAGTGATGGCGGAACTCACATAGGTCTTAATCGTGCTCATCTGAAACTCCTTATCATAAGAATCTTCCAAATTGTTCATATCATCCAAAGATTCCTGAATCTCATCAACAGAACTTCTCACGTTGTCTAGACAGTCTTTCAAAACCTTCGCAGCTGTCTCTGATGTACTGTCCTTCCTTAAAAGCTTCGATATCACTGAATAAGTTTTCTTAGACTCTTTTAGCACGAGAGCCAAAGAGGAATTACAAAGAATAAAAGGATCTGCTTTGATCTTTGAAGCGTACTGGTATAAGGATTGGTAGCAGATAGAAGGGTACGTGGAGGTATTGCAGGAAGTGAAAACGAAGGATTTGTAGTAGTTGTTTTTGTTCATGGTGTTCTTCTGAGAACTACTCACAGTTTGGTTTGAAGAAGGATTTGTGCTCTTCTGGGAATAGTAAGAAGGATTATTGATGGTGGAATTGTTGCAGGCTGAAGCTTGCTGAGAAAGAAGAGTGAAGAAGAGAAGAAGATGAAATGAGAGAATTGTGAAAGTGTTGCCTTCCATGTTCTCTGCACTAAGTCAACACTTTCTTTTTCTTCTGATGTCGATGACCACTCAGTCTAATTCTCAGATTTATATAGACAAACCTCCGGTGGTTTTTCTTTTTCTTTTTTCTTTTTTCTTTTTTCTTTCCTTTTTCCCCCCTTTATTCAATCAGTCATGAATAAAATATTGAGAAAATGAAGTTGTCAATTATATTTTTAAAAGAACATCATGGAGAAATTAATGTATTTTTTTAATAATTTTTTTTCATATTCAATGAATCATGTATAAATTATTGAGGAAGTGTGAAGTTGTCAATTATAGGGTTATAAGAATTTCATAGACATAATTAATGGTATGTTCATAAGGACAAAATGATTAAACTCAAATAATTATTAAGGCTCATATAATTAAGGAGGCATCACAAATATTCTGGGAGGTTAGAAAATAGTTGGCATGTATGTGTTCTGATGGATACAAATCTTCTCTAGGGATAGCTCATGTGCAATCCTATACTTGTGATTCTCAAGTTACTTGATAACAACTAAAGAAGAAATCCAAATGATTTTTCTAGACCAAGATATCTTTTGCTGGAGTAAACTGAACTCGAATGACTTTCTTTAGGAGACAAATCCCCATCACTTGTACCAACACAATTCGTTATAAATAAAATTTTTATAGTTAGCTATTATACATTTAGGAGAGGATATATAATATACTACCTCTACGCTCTTAATATAAGAGCTAGATAAGGGGTTCCTTTTGGTCATAAATATGATATTTCAATCTACTATTGTCTGTTGAGTTTATGATTTTCTCTTCAAAGTAATCTATATAGTAATTGCACATGTTAAGGGGTTCAAATTTCATCAACAAGTAATTTCAATGCACATGATTAATAAGGATATTTTAGAAAAGATAATAATAATTTTTTATAAATAGCAATTGAACTAACTTTTTTAATATTTGTAGATGTAGATTAGTTATTTAACTATTATATTAACGATCAGATATGTAGCACAAAAAAAATGTGACTGTATGTTAACTTTTTTTTAATTAAATTTTGAATGAAGAATATGAAACTACTCTTATGCGAGTATGAAAGTTTTGAATAAAAATAAACATATTTTCAATTGAAAATAATTTAGAAAATAATGAAATTGAGTTTGAGAACATCGTGCAAGATGACCATAATTAGTGATTCATGTTGCTACGTGGAAAAGTCAAAATGAAGAGCTCAACAATTCATCGTATTTAGTACCTTGTTTAGACTTTTATAGTTTGACTTTCTTCATTTATTTAATTGATTTAATAACTTCCAATACCAAAATTAGTTAAGGGGCCCGTGGAAACAAAGGGGTGTTGACGTTGATTCATTAATAACATGTAATATATTCGAAATTTTTTTAAAAAAATAATGAATTGAAGAAAAAAAACAGTAAATTCAACAAATTCATCTATTTTGTTATTCATCGTCAATATATCGTCATTGTATGTGTATATATAAACCATAAATAGTGTGAATCATATTTCAAATTTTGTACTAGCTGGTGCTTTCTATAAAACTATCTAACTAAATTAAAAATATTAAAAAATTATAAATTTAAAAAATAAAATGAATTAAAGTATTATACTACCTCCTTTCGTAATTATAAGACCTCGTTTATAATATATAAATAAAGTTTTATAATTAGGACCAGAGGTAGTATTTAGAATGAAATCCAACTCCCAACTAGAAGGAAGTATAATAATTATACTCCTTTTGGTCTTCACCAACTAAATCGGTCTCATACATTCAATGAAATGTGAGAAATAAACTGTAATACTATTTATAATTTTTTTAATCGTATGATTTGTATTAAAATTTATATGACACATTGATGTATTAATTTTCAATACCATCAAAATAAATAGGAGCATATTTTCGGAACTGGTTTTGGTGTTCTTCCTAAAAGAAGAGCATCCAAAGCTTATTCTATCTAAACTATCCAGATCTGATTTAAATAGTCCACATGAGATATTTTTAATAAATTTTTTTTTAATAAAGTATTAATTAAGAAATTATTTTTATTTTAAATTTACGGTCTAAATGGGATGAGAAAGATAAGCACCCAAACTGGTTCGTGACTCAGTATGATATTGTTTTTTTTTTTTTTTGTTCTTTCCGCGAGGTTTAGGTTCAATGCAGACGATTGTATGGTGTAAGATAAATTTATATGGACTGAAAGGAATTTTCGATTTTGGTAAGAGGATAGCGAAGACTAAAACGAATCGATTCTAAAATATTTCCTTTTGTCTTATTTATAAAATCCTATTTATTGATCACTAACACCTTTTAAAAAATATTTCTTATCTCTTTCTTTTTATCTCGGCTCTCCTCCGGCCTATTTTTTTAATATAAATTTAGAGTCTTTTCAAGTCGAACATTAAGATTAAAACCTAAAACCCTCCCAGTAAGTGGGTTTTTTAAAATTTAAAGTTGCGTTCTCTTCCCATTAAACTATACTCATCAAAAGGTAATGTTAATAAGTTGTAAAATATTTTTGGCATTTCATTAATTCAAACTAACTTCTTTAATTTTAAAGAAAACAGTTAATACGGTTTTGTAAAAAGAATTCGGGGAGTGCTATATTATCAAATCATTATATGCTCCCTCATGAGGCAATTTTTTAAAATTATCATGTCAAAAAGTACAAGGCATTTTAGTAAAATTCAAAAATAACTTAATCAGGGTTTAATTAATAAATTTTTTCTAATTGACTTAATCAGGGTTTAATTAATAATTTTTTTCTAATTGATACACTATACTAAATAAAAATATACATGAAAATTGTATAATTATATAAATTAATTAAAAATTTATTATTTTTTCAATTAAAGGGACATATTACTAACTTCCTAAAATTATAAGATTGATTTCATAATTTCTCACTTATAATAAAACTTTTATGTAGCAGGAATCACATAGCACTAGCATATCCATTACCGCGTTATGGAGTAAAATATTTTTTGGGAAAAGCACAAAAAAAGACCTCATAATTGAAAAATTACAAAATTAGGACTCATGACAATATTAGTATGGGTTTTGACAACAATTTTTCTGAACGGGTCCTTGTATACAATTTTTCTATTTCAGTGATTTTTTTGTCAATTTTTCTAAATTTTTCTTCAAAATTTTTACTCAAGAGTGTTGGACCCCAAAAATGTTTTAAATGTAAATTTACTCTGAAATCTTAAAATGCTAGTAATATTATTTTCTAACAATAAAAACTAATATTGAGTATTAAAAAAATGATGTTGATCATTAACATTTTTAATGGCACGAGTAACATTACTATAATTTTAAAATTTTAGGACAAACCTACACCCAAAAAACTTCGAAGTCCCATTTGATACTAATCATAAAAAATTAAAGAGTAAGAATTGTGATTGAGATTGAGATTGAGATTAAAAAAAAAACATATTAAAAAAGTGTTTAATATGAGAAATTCCTTATTATTTGAGATTGAGTAAATCTATATATATGGAATTGAAAAATACCATGAGATGAGGCAGTATTTTCCAATCCCGATTACATAAGATTGCATAATTCCATATAATAAGAAATTACTCATACTAAGTACTCCTAATGACTTTTCTCAATTCTAATTCTAATTCTTATTTTTTATTTTTAGTACTTCCTATCAAATCAGACCTAGGTGTCCAACATTCAAAATGAAAATTTTAAGAAAAAAATGACAAAAGAAAAGTTGAAAATTACAAAATATCAAATAAAGAATGTCAACAAAAATTTGTTGTCATTTATCAATTCAGTATTGTCAATACCAAATAAAATATTGTTACTAAACTTGATTTGAAATTGGATAATTTTCAACTTTTTTTTAAAAAATCATTTTTCCAAATTGATTATCCAAACAGCTAAGGCTGAAAAAGGCTGGGAAGCAGCACGTGGCTGACCTACATAGAATGCCACGTGTCAGATAGAGGGGCATATGATCATTAAAAAAAGTCAATTACTTGTGAGAACGTGCGAAGCAAAATCACATGACAGCCTACTTCAGAACTTCTTAGCGTGAAATGTTGCAGGATGATAGGCGCTGTCGTGGGGACCAATGATGACGTGGACTCTTCGCTACAGCTATCTTCTGCGCCGTCTGCACTCTCTGATTCGCTGTACCGACAGTTATTGACCACAAAAGGTGCGCCACCTCATCTTCATGAAACTTGAAGATATAATCACAACATTTTTTTATATATATAACTACTATTTGGTTATTTAACTACATCATATTCTAATGTTATGGAGCCCAGCTGCAAAAAACTCTTTAAAAATGTCTTCCGTTTTCTCATGGATTTGATCATTTGAGCTCAAAATCTCTTGCTTAAGTGGCTAAAGTATTTTTTTAGTAGCACTAAATATTTTAGATTAAAGTTTGGTGCATCTAACCTCCTAAATTATTTCTTTATATAACATTTAGTATTTTAAAGTTATTTTTAATGCATTTAATATCTTAAAGAATTTTTTAGTAACATCTAATAGTATCCTAAAAAAATACTGAATACTACTCGAAAAATATTTTAGAACACTAAATTCACCAAAAATTACTTTACTATGTACTACTGCAAAAATGCTTTAAGCCTTTGGATGTAGATGTGCAAGAAACTGCATTAGAATCCTGAGTGTTACTAATAAAATACTATAAGAGCTACGAGTAAAATGCTTTAGAAAAAATTAATTAATTGCGTTTTACAGTTTCACCGAGTTATCAATTCAATATCTATACTTTGAAAACTTATAATTCAATTTTTATAGTTTAAAATATAAAGAACTCAAGCCTTTTCTCATTTACTACTAAGGGGTTAAAAAATGCTGAAATGGATCCACATTATTATTGCCAAGAATGAATTAATTAAATTTGCCAATGCTTTATCTCAAATTCAAATTTCAAAATATAAATGACAGGTTTATATTTTACGTTGGATTATTAATATATTAATAGATGAATTTAAATTTTCTAATT